AATAGACAAATAATTAGCAAAACTGAATTTTTTAAAAGGAATAAATTTTGGAGAAAAATTGTGCTATATATATCTTTTATTAATAGGTGAATACAAATCCTTCAGATTCAGTACCATTTGATAGTATCATGGGCTTTTATTTTTATCATTCCAATAATTTTATTTCTGACATTAGTATATAAAATATTAAAATAATAGTTACAAGTTTATGGGGTGTGATTTACTCCAAAGCTGTAATTAAAACTGTACCAAAATGTATCATGGATTAAGGCTGCTTCGAAGGCAAGACAAATATGCAGATTGAATTTTTGATTGGAACAAGCACCTATTGTTTATGGTATCTCCATCATCTATCAAAATAATCCTATTAACATAACGATTTACATTATTAATAATGAAATTTATTTTTTTGCCATTTATGTTTAGAAACATTTGGATATACTTCAGGATCATTTAAGAATTAGAATGTTGATATGAGAGTGACTATCATTTCTTTATTATTAATCCAAAATGTTGATTCTGCTAACTGATCTATTCCCTGGAAGGTCAAGAGGACTGTGCAGGTGAAGAAACTTCTCAGCTTTCAACAAATTTGAAGAAAGAACAATAACTTGTATTTATCATTCTCCTCCTTTCTTTTATATTTACCTTCTTTACACATGTAAAAAGTATTTTCTGATTGGTCACATGTGCCATACCATGTCATATTGTATTTGGCAATTGTGGTTTATCATTAAATTTACCAAATAAATAATCAGAAAATAATCTTATATGAACAAAAGTCATTTTGGTGTTTAGCTGAACCGTGAAATTTAATAATAATAATAGTAAATAATAATATAGATATCAATAATTTTCAAATCCTAATAATACATTTGTGACATTAATTCCTATGGTTTCTAGATGATATCCACCTTCCAATACAAATAAAGTTGGCAAATTTATTGATTTAATAAGTTTGCCAATTTCAAGATAACATTCAGAAGTAAGGTTTAACCCTCCAATTGGATCATCTTTGTATGTGTCAACTTTGTTAATAAATTTTATATATAAGTGTAATTAATAAATCAAATAAATTAATAAATCAAATAATTAATAAATTAATATTTCTTTAATAATAAAATAAACTATTTATATTTACCTCCTAACGAAACAGCAAGATAATTTGCATTGTAAGGAATAATTTTATTATTTATAATATTTTTTAATTGTTCTAAATACTGTTGATCATCAGTATTTTTTGATAGAGGAACGTTGATATTGTAACTTTCACCTTCACCAATTCCAATCTCTGACTCATCACCTGTATACCATGGATAATCATTTTCTGCATGAAATGAAACATATAAGGGATTTGAATCTGAATAAAAAATATCTTGAGTTCCATTACCACTAAAAAAATTTTTAAGTTAAATATAAATATTTATCATCATCATCATTATTATTATAACATATATATGTAATGGTCACTTACTGATGATAATCAATATCTAAAATTACAACTTTTTTCAAATTTTTTTCTTTATCAATTAAAATGTTGGTAACAATTGCAACATTATTAAGAAAACAATATCCACCACATAAATTCTGATTTGCATGATGTCCAGGTGGTCTACTTTTAAAAAAATTTTTTAGAAGAGAATGCATATATATATATAAAATATATAAAGGTATGGTTAGTATTTATGATTAATAATATTAACATTTATGGATTAATAATATTTACCATAAACAAAATATACCAATTGATGATTGATCTGATTCATATGCCAATTTTTTAAGTTCAATAGCACCACTAATACAGACTTGAGCTGATTCATAGGTAGCTTTCCAAGTATCTATATTCACAATTAAAATCAATCAATCAATTAATAATCAATATTCCCTACTCATAATAATTAATTACCTTCAGTTATTGAAATTTGTGGTGGCGCAGTATTTTTATGACAAAAAAAAAATCGGGGAAACACCCAAATTAAGTAATAAAATTATGTGGAGTTGTTATTGTTGTTGTATAATATATTAATATTATTATATTATATTATGTTGTATGAATTGGCGGCTGTTAGCGAAATTCATGAAATCAACATGTATAAAGAGGAAAAGTTAATTAATTAATTAATAAATATTTGTTCCTCCCACATTTCATAATCACTAAATTTGGCAGAAAGTCCCTGGTTTGGTTGATTATTTATTTACCCGTACAATAAGTAAAGAAATGTGATCCTCTTTTAAGTTGGAAGTACA